TATCGGACATATTTTTCCACGTTATGGTAAAATCCAAGAAGACTGAAATGTTTTTGTTGTTGGTAGTTGGCTAAATCCGAACTTTCACATCTAAGCCTTTTGCATAACCCATTTAGGGCATTAACTATTTTAAAAAGGCAAAAAAACGCCTCAAGTTGCGTAAAAACATTTCAGCGTAAGTTTCATAAAATGATGCAGTTTTGATACAGCAATATTAAAGTTAAGTAATGGAAATGTGGCTAATATTCCCATCAGTTAAACACCTTATAATCTCAGTGTTGCTCTTTAACGTTATCACGGCATTTGACTGACCGTAGGAGGTTGGGTTTAACGCTGAAGCCCCGCCCCCACATGTATTCAGGGGGCGTGGCCTGTGAAGCAGCCGAGACACAGGAAGCCTTTTGATTCCTTTGTTTTTTTTAAATGTGAGAATTGTCATCTGACAGTGTGTTGGACCTCTGTGAGTACTGCTGTGTCGCGAGTACTACTCAGTATTCTGGTTCTCCTGCAGTACTTCATGTAGCATGTTAATGTGTTTCCTCCAGGAGGGGCTGAATCTCAGTTTGCATGCCGAGCAGAGGCTTCGAGAGAGACGTCTTTATGCAGGCGATCACCACGAATGAAAATGTGGCGATGATAGCAAGCAGAAAAGTCAACGTTTCCATAGCCGCAGCTTCAGGCAGACGTTTCTCACTTCCAGAGTCAAAGGCTACGGTAGCGCTCGACATTTTGTGCGACTTCTGGGGCTGTAGTTTTTCTTTAGTTGTCAGATCTAAAGGTCTCAGTTATGCTTAAAAAAAGAACGTGTTACTAACTAAATGTAGGACAACTGTTCTTCTGCATGGGACAATTCATGGTAGTCTGCCAAATGTGATGCTTGTTTGATTGTCTATCTTACTTTTCAAAGCAGAGAAGGACAACTTTCCCCACTCCCACCCAGTTATAAAACGTGTTCTAGTCTTTGATGGAGCTTCTTCTCGTAAGAGCAGTTCAAGTTCGTGCTTCTTCTTCAACTCCCACTATTACTGCCTAAAGTTGGTTGGATGGCATTTGGAAAATCATGAAAAATGGTCAAAAGCAGAAAAGAAACCCACTTACTTTGAAGCACACAGAGGCCTTAACGTCTGTGATTAATTGAGCCATATTTGTACCCATCTTTTAAAGCGCTAGGCTAGCAGTTTCCCTCTGTTTCCACTCTTTGTGCTAAGCTAGGCTGAACACACCCTGGACCTAACTGAGATGAAACTGAACAGAAGTCGCACTGAATGACGATCGCGATCGCAGCCGAAAGCAAACTGAAATCTAAAGAAGAAATGATTTTACGTTTACTGAAATAAACCTGCGTCTTCTTTCTCTGTATGGCATGATGACCAGTGAAATGTAAAGGATCCAGTTCAGCGCGGAGCATCCGGTAAAAAAGAAAAATCCCCGTTTTTATTCGGCTGAGTCCTGGTCCCTTTTTCCAGCTGTTGTTGGATTTTAAAAACTGTTATGGAAATTGAAATTCTGAACTGGTTTTGTCCCAGTGCAGAAACCCACAGCAGCAGTGAGGGAGATAAAGGGAGGGGGGGGGGGGGGTAAAGCCAAATGTAAAGTAAAAACTAAAAAGCCTTAAATGAATAAAAGTGGTGCAATTTTGTAACAGCAACCTGTGGTGTGCAGTCATTCTGGATCGATGTGCATACACCTTCACACATAAAATAACACCTGTTTATGTGTGAGAGCAACATGATTACATCATTACATGTGTCAATGTACAGTCTTATATATTTCATTTAGTATGGGTATAATGTAAGGATAAATACATATGTAAATAGACGATTGAACGATTAAAGAACAGTTGGATGAATCAAGATTTATTGTACATTTTTTCGAGGTGCCGTTATAATATATATTTTTGAATGGTCTCAAGATAAAATATAATGCCATTATGAATTTGTTTGGTAATTAAAAATAATAATTATAATAGTTTGAGAGGTTTTTATTATTGTTATTATTTTATTTGTAAGAGGTCCTTTATACTATTATTATAACGTTATTTTGTAGTGCTCATTATTACAAATAAATAATTATTACAACAACATATTTCTTTGAAAGTTAATTATTATTATTATTATTAGTCATATGTTTTTGAGGGGTCACGCTCTGTTGACCTACATCATCGCTGACGTCAGTTGTCAACGTGCTTACGTCAGACGCTTCTAAGCTGCCATGGCAACGACGACCCTGTAACTGAAGCTGAGGAGCAGATAGTTAGCAGCTGCTGGTCAACTAGTTAACTAGTTATACGATGTCAACCAGCTAGTTAGCAAAGTGTAAATGAGCGCTATGACTAAGGAGTGAGTCGGTGAGTCCTCGCGGGGTTTTGTGGCCGGTAAGCGCGAGATGACCGTCCGCTTTAAGGTAATTAGCAACAGGTGTATTAGCATCGTTAGCATGGTTAGCCAAACAAACGGTGCTAACCATTGACTTTATATGTAAAGATGCTAACCTAGCCACCTAGCTCTGTAACTGCATCAATCATGAACATGTTTAAAGATCAGAGGTGGGATAAGTACTCAGATCCTGTACTTGAGTAAAAGTACTCAGATCCTGTACTTGAGTAAAAGTACTCAGATCCTGTACTTGAGTAAAAGTAGAAGTACTCAGATCCTGTACTTGAGTAAAGGTAAAAGTACTCAGATCCTGTACTTGAGTAAAAGTAAAAGTACTCAGATCCTGTACTTGAGTAAAAGTAAAAGTACTCAGATCCTGTACTTGAGTAAAAGTAGAAGTACTCAGATCCTGTACTTGAGTAAAAGTAGAAGTACTCAGATCCTGTACTTGAGTAAAAGTAAAAGTACTCAGATCCTGTACTTGAGTAAAAGTAAAAGTACTCAGATCCTGTACTTGAGTAAAAGTACTCAGATCTTGCACTTGAGTAAAAGTAGAAGTACTCAGATCCTGTACTTGAGTAAAAGTAGAAGTACTCAGGTCTTGTTCTTGAGTAAAAGTAGAAGTACTCAGATCTTGTTCTTGAGTAAAAGTAGAAATACTCAGATCATGTACTTGAGTAAAAGTAGAAGTACTCAGATCTTGTTCTTGAGTAAAAGTAGAATTACTCAGATCTTGTACTTGAGTAAAAGTAAAAGTACTCAGGTCTTGTTCTTGAGTAAAAGTAGAAGTACTCAGATCTTGTTCTTGAGTAAAAGTAAAAGTACTCAGATCTTGTTCTTGAGTAAAAGTAAAAGTACTCAGATCTTGTACTTGAGTAATAGTAGAAGTACTCAGATCTTGTACTTGAGTAAAAGTAGAAGTACTCAGATCTTGTTCTTGAGTAAAAGTAGAATTACTCAGATCTTGTACTTGAGTAAAAGTAAAAGTACTCAGATCTTGTACTTGAGTAAAAGTAAAAGTACTCAGATCTTGTTCTTGAGTAAAAGTAAAAGTACTCAGATCTTGTTCTTGAGTAAAAGTAGAAGTACTCAGGTCTTGTTCTTGAGTAAAAGTAGAAGTACTCAGATCTTGTTCTTGAGTAAAAGTAGAATTACTCAGATCTTGTACTTGAGTAAAAGTAAAAGTACTCAGATCTTGTACTTGAGTAAAAGTAAAAGTACTCAGATCTTGTTCTTGAGTAAAAGTAAAAGTACTCAGATCTTGTTCTTGAGTAAAAGTAGAATTACTCAGATCTTGTACTTGAGTAAAAGTAGAAGTACTCAGGTCTTGTTCTTGAGTAAAAGTAGAAGTACTCAGATCTTGTACTTGAGTAAAAGTAGAAGTACTCAGATCGTGTACTTGAGTAAAAGTAGAAGTACTCAGATCATGTTCTTGAGTAAAAGTAGAAGTACTCAGATCTTGTACTTGAGTAAAAGTAGAAGTACTCAGATCGTGTACTTGAGTAAAAGTAGAAGTACTCAGGTCTTGTTCTTGAGTAAAAGTAGAAGTACTCAGATCGTGTACTTGAGTAAAAGTAGAAGTACTCAGATCGTGTACTTGAGTAAAGGTAGAAGTACTCAGATCTTGTACTTAGTAAAAGTAGAAGTACCAGAGTGTAGGAATACTCTGTTACAGTAAAAGTCCTGCATTCAAAATGTTCCTCAAGTGAAAGTAGAAAAGTATTCTCATCAAAATATAGTGAAAGACAGTAAAAGTAGTCGTGGTGCAGATTGGTCCATTTCAGAATAATATATATGATATGTTTTATAATGATTGATCATGAAAGTGTTCTCAAAGCTGGTAAAGGTGCAGCTAGTTTGAATGACTTTGTATACTGCAGGGTAGCTGGTGGATTTACTCCAGGTGGAACTAAAGTCTGATTCAACACTTGATTAGATTTCACATCATTCATCCACATCTGTGAAGTAACTAAAGGTATTAAATACATGTAGTGGAGTAGAAGTACACAGTACCAGAAAATGTAAATGCTCAACTAAAGTACAATCCTCCAAATTGTACTTAAGTACAGTAATTGAGTAAATAGTTATTTTACACCTCTGATAAAGATGTAGCTCTGGACCCTGCAGGGTGCTGCAGTCAGGATGAATGAGATGCAATCTGTTCATCTAGGTAATCCTGTCAGAGTGACGTGTGTGTGTGTGTGTGTGTGTGTGTGTGTGTGGTGTGTGTGTGTGTGTGTGTGTGTGTGTGTGTGTGTGTGTGTGTGTGTGTGTGTGTGTGTGTGTGTGTGTGTGTGTGTGTGTGTGTGTGTGTGTGTGTGTGTGTGTGTGTGTGTGTGTGTGTGTGTGTGTGTGTGTGTGTGTGTGTGTGTGTGTGTGTGTGTGTGGGTGTGGGTGTGGGTGTGGGTGTGGGTGTGGGTGTGGGTGTGGGTGTGGGTGTGGGTGTGGGTGTGTGTGTGTGTGTGTGGGTGTGTGTGGTCAGTGTAGAAGTGAATACCAGAAGAGTTACAGGACGTCCCGCCCCAGAGGTTCTTCTCCTCAGCGCTGCGTCCCATTGGCCGGCCTGCGCTCAGACCAGATGGGTAAGATCCCTGAAAGCAGAACTGGACGAGTCCCGTTTCAACT